TGTGAAGGTTTATTTTTAACAGTGGGAGTTCTGGGTTTTCTAATCATTTACTCTAAGAGAGGATAAAATGCAATGTAAAATTAAAATTTGAAAATTAAAAACCATGAATTTTCTAGACCATGAGTCTCCAGTCAGTAACTACCTGACTAGCAGGATGGTTTGGAAGGGTTTTTCCCACACTTTAATACCGAGCCCAGCGCCACCCAATGCTAAACTATTAAGAGGGCAGCTTTGATATTAAAACCCAAAGCAGAGAGCTGGACACACTGGTGTGTGCCTGTAGTTCCAGCTAGTCAGGAGGCTGAGGCAGGAGAGTCACTTGAACACAGGAATTCCAGTCCAGCCTGGGCCACATAGTGAGACCCCATCTCTAAAGAAACAAAAACAAAAACAAAAACAAAAAACTGGCAAGAAGTAGATGTTCTTTGTGCATAATAAGGCTTAGGGAATACATGAGCATACGATCGACTATCATAGTGCAAGAGAAGTTCAATTTATTTATTTGATACATTCCCATCTAGAGGCTGGTCCGTAGTGAGGGCTGCTTTCTCTCTCCAGTCCAAGGATGCACAATTTCCTGTGTCCCTCTATCCAGCAGCAGAACCCTAGGGCAGAGGATGGCTGATAGCAGCCCATGCTGAAGGTCATATCCCCGCAGGAGGACCTTAGCCAGGAGTTGAGGCAGAGAAGCTGGGCTTATGGGGACTGTGGATTCAGGAAGGGAAACTGAATGAGGATGGGAGGTGGTGGAGAGGGTCTGGGGTGCGTCTCCCATCCACTGCACGTCAGGAATGAGTCTTGAGACACAGGAGTGGAGCCTGCATCTAGGGTGCCCCAGGCAGAGAGTCCCAACCATCCTGGGACTCTGCATCTCTTGGCTCATGTCACTTGAGCCAAAGCAAAGAGCTGAGCATTATTTAAGTATGTGTGTGTGTAGTGGCCAATGTGATGGGGTGTGTGTGTTTAGCTAAGTAACAGAGGAGGATATCTCTTCCACCCTTCACTTACCATCACACATCTGTATTTCTTCAGTCTGAAAGGTGGGAAGATGAAGAGGGCCAGGCACGCGTCTGACTGGGCTGTCTAAACCTTGTTTTCCAAGATAGGCAGCTCAGGCTTGGGCTGCATTTTTCTTCTGCCAATTTTTGTACTGGAATTTATGTGACCATTGGTAGATTTTTAAACAGTATCTTTATAGTAGGTTAAATACGGCTGCAAACTCTTTGCTACTCCCACTGAGAGACGGAGTGTAACACTTGACTGATGGAACGTGGTGGAAGAGATGTTCTAGAATTTCTGAGGCTTAGTCTTAGCAAACCTGTGGCTTTTGCCTGTGTCTCTGTGAACATTCTCCGTGGGAATGGTGAGCTACAGTGTAAAAGGCCCAAATGCTCTGTCCACCATGCCAAGAGGCCACATCTGGCATGTGGGTATACTGGTCAACAGTAACAGCCGAGACCAGCAAAAGTGCCAGGGATGTGAGTAAACCTGTCTTGGATTCTAGAACAGCCCATCCACTAAGTGACCAGAAGAATCCCCTGAGCACACCTTGCCCAAATTCCTGACCCACAAAATCGTGAGATAAAATGAAATGATTGTTGTTTTAAGGCACTAATTTTGGAGAAGTTTGTTAAGAAGCAAGCAATAACTGGAACCATAACATAGAGGAAAGAACATCTGTGGTGTTAGATCTGGACTCAAATCCCAGCTCCATTATTTATCAACTGTGTGATCTTTTCTAGCTTCTTCTGGCCTCAGTTTCCTCCTGTGTTAGATAGAGGTCATTCTAGCTACCTCCTAGCCTCATCATGAAGATGAAATGAGAAAACAGATGGAAAACAGAGCCTGGCTCATAGCAGCTGCTTCAAAATGTTTCTTTCCTCTCCTCTCAGCCTCACCACGCCCTCTTCTCTAGGGTTTTCTGGGATGCCCAGTGAGGGGAATGCAGCAAACTACAGCACCCCCACCACTCAAGATTTTGGAGAAAAGAATTCCAAGAGAATGTTACTGAGAAAATGACTCTGGACCCCCCTGCTCCAGAAAGACAAAATTATTTTCCTGACTTGACTTTTAAAAAATGGATTTACTTGAAGAGCTACTCCAATTTAATGAATAATTAGGGGAGGAAATTAAGGCAGTTACAAAAGAGAATTAGATTTTTTTTTCTTTTTTTTTTTTTGAGACCAAGTCTGGCTCTGTCACCAGGCTAGAGTGCAGTGGTGCAATCTCAGCTCACTGCAACCTCCACCTCCTGGGTTCAAGTGATTCTCCTGCCTCAGCCTCCAGAGTAGCTGGGATTATAGGTGCCTGCCACCATGCCCAGTTAATTTTTGTATTTTTAGTAGATACGAGTTTCACTATGTTGGCCAGGATGGTCTCAATCTCTTGACCTCGTGATCCACCCACCTCAGCCTCCCAAAGTGCTGAGATTACAGGTGTGAGCCACCACATCCGGCCAACAATTAGATTTTTAAAAAACAGATACCTTGGACCAGGTGCAGTGGCTCATGTCTATAATCCCAGCACTTTGGGAGCCCAAAGCGGGCAGATCATTGGAGGTCAGGAGTTCGAGACCACCCCAGGCAACATGGTGAAACCCTGTCTTTACTAAAAATACAAAAAAAAAAAAAAAAAAAAAATAGCTGGATGTGGTGGTGTGCACGTATAGTCCCAGTTACTTGGGAGGCTGAGGCAGGAGAATCACTTGAACTTGGGAGGTGGAGGTTGCAGTGAGCCAAGACCAGGCCTGCTGCACTCCAGCCTGGTGACAGAGTGAGACTCCATCTCAAAATAAATAAATAAATAAAAATAAAATACAAAAATTAGCTGGGTGTGATGGCGTACACTTGGGAGGCTAAAGCAGCAGAATCACTTAAACCTGGAGGCAGGGGTTGTAGTGAGCCAAGATCGTGACACTGTACTCCAGCCTGGGTGAAAGAGAAAGACCCCATCTCAAAAAAACAAAAACAAAACAAACAAAAAAACTAAATACCTTGTGGTCCATAGGCTATCCATTTTTATTTAAGGTATCAGAAGCAAGAAAATGAAGAAGGTCTCTGTGTGCCCATAGAGCGGGTGAGATTTTGCTATAACCGAGAAGCATCAGTGGTTTTCAGGCAGGAGGCTCTCTCCCTCCTTCTGTCAGTCATCTCAGAGGCGCCCAGAGGCTGCAAGGTGCCCAACCATGCACAGAGGTGGTGAGAACTGCTACCGTGGCGGCTCCAGGAGAAGAGGCCCAGAAATGGACATTTGAATGATTGAAACTCCCTAAACCACTCCTGCTTTCAAAGCTTGCTCCATGTCTCACATTGACATGGAACAATGAGCTGAAATGGGAAACATCAATTCAGGCTGCCCTCCCTCCTATATTTCAGGCAGTGCTCTACTCTACACAGCAAGTTCCCGAACAGATCTCCCTTTCTTTCCTGCCTGCAGTCATTCCCACAAGTTTACCTCTAAGGAGCTCATTTTCATCCAGACTTTGAGGCAGGGCTCACCAATGGTGCCTTCTGCACTCCCCTGTCTGTTCTCATCCGGGTCCTTAATGTGCTTACATTCCTGACACCTGTGAGATGTCATAGCATGGCTGCCCTCTCCATTACGCCCTGACCTGTGGTTTAGATGCTGCCCCTTCCTGCACATTTGTATAAATTAGGCTGCATCCCTGGGAACTGGAACTCCCTAATAAGGCAGGGACATAACCCCCAAACTCTAAAACACTTGGACCTCAGACAGGGCCTGGATTCGTTCCTGGCCAAAAAAATGACTGTGGCCAGTATGTGTGTGTGCGCTATGTTTAGAAAGCACTTTTGATGTTAGGTTTATTTAAGCTTCACGATTCTTCAGTGAGGTAGGAAATAATCCCATTTAATGGAGGAAAAGCTGAGGTTTGGAAAAGTTATGCCCAAAGTTACACAGCTACTAAGGGACAGACTTGGACTTCAAATCCAAGTTGTTTGATCCCAAACTCAGTGCATGCCCACCATTTCATCCTACCTTTTGATTATGATTGACATTAGAAATTAAATTTTCATGTCCCTAAATTGGATTTTTAAGTAAGCAAGCAAGATCTCTTCCTACCTAAGCACCTAGCGCATTAGCTGGAGAACTAACTGCAAAGCGCTGAAACCACACAGATTGTTACCAACTCAGCTGTCTCCCCATCCATTCCAATGGATTTGCCATGAGTTTTTTAAAGGATATTAAAAGTTCCCAATTATGGAACTCATTCTAGGTGCCAGGCCCTGTGCCACTCTCATTACATCCATTATCCCACTTCATCTTCATATCAGTTGTCTAACATAGGCGTTATCCTTCCCTTTTTGCACACCGGGAAACTAAGGCTCAAGAAGTCAAATATTGGCTGGGTGTGGTGGCTCATGCCTGTAATCCCAGAACTTTTGGAGGATCACTTGAGGTCATGAGTTTGAGACCAGCCTGGCCAACATGGTGAAACCCCATCTCTACTGAAAATACAAAAATTAGCCAGGCATGGTGGTGGGCGCCTATAATCCCGGCTATTCGGGAGACTTAGGCAGGAGAATCACTTGAACCCGGGAGGCAGAGGTTCCAGTAAGCTGAGATCTTGCCACTGCACTCCAGCCTGGGGGACAGAGGGAAACTGTGCCTCAAAATTGTACAAGGTCTGTTTGTACATTTGTATCTTTATCATATTCTGAGGGATCTGGATTTCTGCCTTCCCCAAACTCCGCCTTCTCTTCACCTTAGTTTGTCCGTAGGAGTCAGGAAACCCAATGTGTCCTCTTGACAGAGAAGAGGTTGTTCTAACAACATGAAAAGGGGTGGTCTTTATTCGTAACGTGGGACCAGGTCACCAAGATGACAGATGGGTAACAAGATCTTAGGTGACCAGTTCCCAGCATCCCCCAAAGGGTTTTCTCAACTAAGCAGGAAGTCTGAAGTTGTTTCTCCAGGATAGTCCCCAAGTCTTGTCCATTTTCCATCACAACCCTGAGCGGAAAACTGTAGCAGACTCTTGATTTGGATGGGAAACTGTTTATTTAGCGGGAATACCTTGGAGTGAACTGGTTACCGTTAGTAGGTTTTCCCATGATCCTCATCCTACCCACGGTGATTTCTAAGCAACAAAATCAGCCCAGCAACAATGAGGCCAATCACAAATAAGTCCCAGTGTGGTCCAACGGTGTTGTCCGGTTTCAGCCAGTTCCATCTCATTGTGAACTGCTGGCAAGAGACATTCTGTCAAAAACAATCCAAGCTTCCCACCTCCACTCAGAGCCACCTACTCTTCCCAAACCCACTGCCACCAACCCTCCTCCCACCCATTCCCTTTGCTTCCTTCAGTCTTGGAAAACACAATCTTTGCTTGCTTACAACTTCCGCAAGGGGTGTAAATAGCACCTTTAGAATAACCCCAAAGATTTAGACACTTTACATTTTTTCAAACGGTAGCTCTTTGTGGTACCCCTTGCCACCTGCCATCTGCCTACCAGTCTCGGCTATTGATGGTAAGAACTGTTTTGAAGAAGTATATATAGCACATGCCACTGTGCTTAAGGCTTTGAATGTAATGTGTGCTGGAAAAGAACATCTGCTGAATGAATTAATTGCTTATACTGTGAAGTGTCAACACATACTCAGTAGAACACATAGAATTACTCTGCATGGCAAGTGTAAGACTTTGAATTTGACTTCTCAAAGGAAAGCCAGTCCACAAGAAGCTCCCCGATGGGCCTTGTCACGTTGTCCCTAGGAGTTGCTCATTGGAGACTTTCAGAGCATTGGAGACTTTCAGAAATTCAGGACTTGTTCAAGACAAACTTACATTAAAAAACAGAATATCCCGGAGCAAATGCATAGTTTCCAGTTTCATGAGGGCAAGGAACACAGGTATGTAGGCATCTGGACTCGTTTGAGCAGCCATGTCGTACAATCTTCTGGCCAAGTGAATGTCCTAGAAGGAGAAGAATAGCCCATACCCGTCAGATTCTCTAGGAGTAAGTAAACAGACACCACTGTTCAAAATATCAAATGTAATTAAGGGTACAGGACTTAAGATAGGGAGATTATCATGGATTATCCAGGTGGACCTCAGATAATCAAGTGAACATTTAAACAGAGTTATCTCTGGGCTGGGGGTGGAAGCAAGACAGATGTGGTGGAGGGCGACTTCAGAGAGATCCTCAGCATGAGGGACTCAACTTGCCATTGTTGGAAGGGGCCACATGGAATGAGAAGGAATTTGGACAGTCAATAAGGAAACAAGAACCTTGGTCCTACAACCTCAATTAACTGAATTCCACCAAACAACTGGAATGAGCCCTGCAGTGGATTCTTCCCCAGAGCCCCCAATAAAGAACATTCTTGATTTTAGCCTCGTGAAACCCCAGACTGAAGACCCAGTCAAATCACCTGGGCTTTTGGCCTACAGAAACCATGAGATAATAAGCTTGTGTTGTTTTAAGTCCCCAAATTTGTAGTGATTTGTTACGGCAAGCATAGAAAATTAACACAGTCTCCAGAAAGCTTTCTTGGATACCCCTGTAACAGCTCCTAATTGTGATTCCAACAAATAGGGTGGAGAATAGGGCCAGGCACAGGGGTTCATGCCTATAGTCCCAGCACTTTGGGAGGCCAAGGCAGGTGGATCACTTGAGGCCATGAGTTTGAGACCAGCCTGGCCAATATAGTGAAATCCTGTCCCTACTAAAAATGCAAAAAGTAGTCAGGTGTGGTGATGCATGCCTGTAATCCCAGTTACTTGGGAGGCTGAGGCACGAGAATCGCTTGAATCCAGGAGGCAGAGGTTGCAGTGAGCCAAGATCACGCCACTGAACTCTAGCCTGGACGACAGAGTGATACTCTGTCTCAAAAGAAAAAAAAATTGTACAGTTCTCTAAAGTAAGTCAGAATATAGGTAGTTGGTGATCATCATCTAAAATTCTCATTATCTTCATAGTACTTACCATACCTAAAGTTTTAGAATTTATTTATTCATTTGTTTGTCTCCAGGTCCTCAAAAACAAGGACTTGGACTCTCTGTTCATCCCCGAATTCCCAGTCCTTAATGAAGGGCCTAGTATGCAGTAGGTCTTTGATAATACTTATAGGATGATGAAGAAACTATTTTTGGCTCTCATGTTGAAGACAGAGTCCTCAAATGACATAGTACTGTATTTTCAGGAGCTTTTTTTTTTTTCATGAATTATGCCATGGCTTTCTTTTTCATCCACTCATGCCTTGTTTTATGTGTTTGTTTTATTTTTGGTTTGCCCAAACAGAGTGACCATAGGCAAGGTGGAGTTGCTTTTAAAGGTAAAAAGTGCCCTGGGCCAGTCCCAGAATTAGATTTTGCTTGGGTGCCCATGGGCTATTTTCAAAAGGAAGGGAAGAAGAAGAGGAATTTTTCACAAACTGTGGTCATCCTAATATCTGTCTTTCTTGCTCCATTACCTAGGCTTCGATACTTGTGAATCATTGAGGCCTCTGCTAAAACTGTTTTTTTTGTTTTGTTTTGTTTTGTTTTTTGGTGGGGGATTGATGTCTTCTCTTAGCTGTGTTCTGCTTATTATAGCTTAAATATTTTCCAAAGCTTTATGGTCTGGAAAATTGATTTGTTGAAGAAAGAGGAATGTTCTTGCTTAAAATGCAGTTCAGGAGATTGGAACAAATCTTCCTGGAAACATAAAATAGATGTTGTAAAAACCCTAATTTGTGTCTCTGATTCCAACAAATTCAGTGTTCGTTTGAAAGCACCCTGCAGATGATAACAGCTGGGTCGGCCGCACATGTGAAAGACATATTGACTTGAACGGGACGGTCGGGGAAAAGCGGCCTTTGTCAATATCTCAGGCATTCATACTTATTTCTTGTTTGAGGCAGTCGATAGTTATTCATTTATTTCTTGTGGTAAAAGCATTACAATCCAGTCTCTTAGTATTTTATAGTAAAAAATAGTGAGAAGTACCATTAAAGTGGGATGAACTCACTCCTTGTCCAGGAGACCTCACAATTTGCAGTGTGTGTGGGGCTGGGGGATGAATGTGAAAGCCTTTCTTTAAAATTCCCAGAGAAGGAAATTCCTGAATGCTTCCAGCTAACTACGGCAACTCATATAAAATAAATTTTAGTACTAGACTAGAAAAGACTCCTCATTCTTTGACCCTATTTAGTAAAAAAATCTAAGTCATGCAAACAAAAAAATCTCCTCCTGATGGTGTTTTGATGATGATCACAGTTCATTAAATGAGAAGTCCACTACACACCCAGTCCACTTAGATTTAACTTTTCTGTGGTACATTTGAATTTATTTTGCTTTAAATTCAGTGATTAAAGAGATTATGTAAACCGAGCTGCAGACTCTTGTTAAAGAACATGTTTCTAACTAAAATGATATGTGGATACTGCTCAATATTTAGATGTTCAAAATAGCTTCTTTTAATTCAAAGATACAGAATTCTCCTGCAGTAAAGTAGCTGGTTTATGAAAATTTTACAACTGCCCGATGCAGGAGTTTCCAGCCCCAAATCTTTGGATGTCAAAAAAAAAATTTCTTATACTGGGACAGAGCATGTGAATGGGAAGGTCGTTTTTGAATAATTTATTCTTATTTTCTTTTTATAAATATACCATATGTTAATTAGAGGGAATTTGGAAATATAGAACTGAACAAATAAGAAAAAAAGCCACCCACAATCTCACTGCACAGAGATAACTACTGGTAATATTTTATACACATTCTTCTAGCATTTCATGTATATTCATATATACATACTTTTTAATTTAGAAATTTTTTACTCAGCATAATATTTCATCTTCTGCTTTCTTAACCTAAGAATATATTTCAAATAATATGCTGTGTCCTAATATATTCTGCTAGTCTATAATTTTTTTTTTTTGAAACAGGGTCTCGCCATGTCACCCAGTCTGGAGTATGGTAGCAGACTCTTGGGTTACTGCTGCCTCCGCCTCCGGGGCTTGAGCAATCCTCGCACCTCGGCTTCCCGAGTAGCTGGGATTACAGGGACTACAGGTGTGTGCCGCCATGCCCGGCTGATTTTTGTATTTTTTTTTTTTGTACAGACCGGGTTTCACCATGATGCCCGTCTAGCCTGGGCATCATATATAACATGGCTTCTATTTTGAAGCATTCTCGTTACTTGTAGAAATTTGTTCTGTAACTAATGGAGCTATACACACACAAAATACTGTTTTTGTCTATTTCTGGTTATTTCCCTAGGTGATAAATGTTTATTTCATGAAAAGTTATGATCATTTCTAAGAAGTGTGTTTTCTGTCCTGCCATATTTCTGAGAGGGCCATTTTAAGTATCTAATTTTAACTTATCCTTTCCAGAAAATAATTCTGGTGTTTAAAGCTTCAGCTGTAACACTCCATGGGTGGTCAGACCAGAAAAATGAGAAATAAAAATGCATTGTGCCATAATCACTTTTGTTTTTGACAGGTCTGTTTATAATTTATTTGTTAGATGTGATTTTGTTTTCTCTGCAGAATCCAAAAATACATGTTATCTAGTAGGTCTACATATATGTATTTGAAACTCTTCCCCAAAGGATAATTTCCCCCGCCTTTCTGTCTTACCTTAGGACAGCTTTCCTATCCATTGTCTTTAAACAGACCTGCTTTCTTCCATTTAAAAAGCTTGTCATGTGTTTCTCGTACTCCATGGTACAAACATACTTTTGAACAGGACCTGGCAGTCCTGATTCCCCTACCTGAGTTAGCTGTTACCTCTTTAACATACTGTGGTACTTTATTTTTAATTCTTTTCAAGTGTGTGTGTGCCTATATATGACCGCCATTTTAGGCTTAACAGTAGCTATGGACAAGTCTCTTCTGTAGTGGACCGTGAACCCTTTGAAGGCTGTCTTGTTCTTATTGTATCCCCAGAACCAAGCACAGGGCTTACTGATATAGGAAATAGTCCTTGATAAATATTCGAGTGAATAAATGAATGAATGAAAAGCAGAGTGCGATACCATGGTGGTTTAGAAGTAGATACCTTTTAAATCTGGGGGTTCTGGCTGGGCGTGGTGGCTCACGCCTGTAATCCCAGCACTTTGGGAGGTTGAGGCGGGCGGATCACGAGGTCAGGAGATCGAGACTATCCTAACATGGTGAAACCCCGTCTCTACTAAAAAAAAATACAAAAAAGTTAGTCGGGCGTGGTGGTGGGTGCCTGTAGTCCCAGCTACTCGGGAGGCTGAGGCAGGAGAAAGGCATGAATACGGGAGCCGGAGTTTGCAGTGAGCCGGGATCGTGCCACTGCACTCCAGCCTGGATCACAGAGCGACATTCCATCTCAAAAAAAAAAAAAAAAAAAAAA